TTGAGGTACCAGATCTGGAGGTAAAAATTAAGGATACTTTTATGAATATGTTCAATTTGAGATGTTTTTGTAACACATAAGTGGATATGTCAGCTAGGCACTTTGGATGTTCAAGTCTGAATTTAGGGCAGAGGTCAGGGCTGTAGACAAAAAGTTGGGAATCTTAAGCATAAAGTTGATATTTAAATCCATGGGAACTGAGGCAGTCATCTGGAAGTATAAGAAATGTGGTTGGTCCCAGGGTCAAGCTCTGAGGAACCCAAAATTTAGGTTGGATAGAAGAAAAGAAGGGGGGTGAAAAGAGGCCAACAAGGTAGAAGAAAAACCAAGAAAGAAATTGAGTAATGATGGATGTTCATGGGGTGCTGTAAGAACATACAGGAGGAGCAATCAGCACACCTGGGGGAGGGGAGGAGCGATGACTTGGGAAAGAGATAAGGCTCTATCCAAGTCTTGAAGGATGTGTAAGAGTAATCCTAACAAAGGTGGGGGAAAGGTAGAACTTTGTAGATAGAGGGAACAGAATTGACGTAAGACCTGGGAGCAGGGAGTACTTGAGGAAGTTAAGAATTAGAATAGGAGGAAATGATGAGCAGTGAGGTTTGAAAAGTGGACAGGAACTATATCACAAAGGGCCTTCAATGTGATAGGGCTGGACAGGGCTTTTGATTCCTCGTTATCAAGGTAGTAAGATACTCGTTTTAAAAAAGGGTTAAATATATAAAAATGAGAAGTCAAAATCACCTCCCAAAGATTTATCATATTTTCCATAGTTATTTTCCTATACCATTTTTCTTATATAGTGGAAACTCTGTATATTTTAATTTATAGGGTTTTTTTTTTTACTTATCAAACACTTCCCCCATGATACTAATAATCTTCATAAACATCTTTTTTAGATGGCTAGACAGTATTTCATAACCAAATCAAATTAACCACTCCTATAATGTTCAACGTTTATTTCCAATATTTCAAATTTGTACATGATGCTTAAAATATTTATGTAATTTTTACATAATTAAAAAAAAATTGGTGGATGTCAAACTGCTTTCTACAAAAGGTTTTCACAATTTATCATCTAAGATTTTTGCCTTAGATTGTTTACAACAATTACCACGGATGCAGTGTGCAGAATGGATGGGGGCAGGATGGAATGGGGATGGGGAGTGGATACCAGTTAGAAGGCTCCAGGAGTTGTCAGAGCTGCGAAAACTAAGCGTCATGTAGCCTTGCTAGTAAAATGTGCCCTGCCTCCCCCGGGACCAGCAGCATCAGGCATAGCCTGGGAGCTTGTCAGAAATGCAGAATACCAGGCTGCACCAGAACTACCGAATCAGAATCTGCATTTTAACAAAGATTCCCCTGATAATTCATATACACATTAAAGTCTGAAAGGCACCGATCTAGGCCGGCGGTCTCAAACTGTGGTGCACATTAGATTCACCTGAGAGGTTAGAGAAATCCCAGTGCTCAGGACGAACCACATACCAATTGAATCAGAATCTTTGAGAGTGGGACAAAGACATCAGTATCCCCTCCCACCACCAAAAAAACAAAAACAACAACAAAAAAACCCTCTCCACGTGAGTCCAACATGCAGCCTATTTTGAGGACCTGTGATCTAGAGAAGTAAAGTGAAAGAAAACAATGGTTGGTTTGGCTCAGGTGGCTGAGGAACAAGCATGGGAAGGAAACTTACTTTTCACCATATATCCTCATTGAACGTTTTGAATTTAGCACAATGTACATGTGATCCTATTTAAAATAATTTTAAAAGCGTGGGAAGTCCTGGGTTACGTACATCCTGAATTGAAGCGCGTCACAAGCCACTGGAAGGATAAGTGGACACTAACCAAGTCTGTTCTTCCCCCAACACTACGACCCCCACCCCGCGCTCCCGTGACTGCAACGTGGGACGCAGGCGCGCTCGCCGCCGCAGCCGGGATTCGGCCTCCGATGACGTCAGGACGCTTCGCGGGTTCCAGACCCCCAGCCCTGGCTCCCTAATCCCGCGCGGACCCGAGGAGGGGCGGGGCGTCGGCCCCAGCTGAGCTATCCTGTCCGACCGCGCCAGTTTGAATGAAAGCTCTACAAGATGGCGGCGGCCGGGGCCGAGTCGCGAGGAGGTGAGGGCAGCATAGCGACACCCCCTCGCAATCCCTTATTCTCCAAACTCCCAGAGGCCAGGGAAGCGGGGCCGAGACGCGCGGGCCATCCTAGGGGGCGAGATGAAGGAGAGACGCCTCCTCCCATCTTGCTGACACCCTGACCCCCAAAATGAGCGAAGCAGGCTCTTACCTTTTCCCTGTGGCCACTGGCCCTTCTCCCGGCTCAGCCCGCTTCCTCCTTCTCAGTCTCTTTCTGCACACGCTTCCCGACTCCGCCTTCCTGCGCCCCGCACCGGCAGGACCCCGTGAGAGGGTCGCCCACCCCACAGGCTGCTGCGTGGCGTCGAAGGTCGGCGCCTCCGCGTGAGCCCCGGGGACTTCGGGGTTACTAAGTGTTGCCTCCCTCACCCGCTGGGGTCCTGAGGACTCCGCAAGGCTGCTCGTTTGGCCTGGAGTCCGTCTCTCCGCCTCGCGGTGTAAAGGCATTTGCCTGGTCGCGGAGGCGGGGGTTTCCCCGGAGGTGGTGTGTCCAGGATTAATCCTCTGGGGGCTTTGAGATCCTTGTGTGCGGGTTGTGGCTTGGCTTCTTTGTGGTGGTTTGGGCGGGACATTTTGTATTCTGTTTGGTATTCTGTTTGGTTTTTAAGTTGAGAAGCGGGAAATACCCAGTGGTGTAAATTTGATCTTGATATCAGGGAGGAAAAAGTAATTGGGGCTAAAGTATGAACGATAAGAAAGGAAATAAAATGAGGATACACCCCAGTTCGGATACACTAGGCGGTTAAACTCCTCGTTGGAAAATACCCAGTAAGTGGGCACTTGGGAATGTAGCCTCTGCTTTACAGTAATTTTTATATCCACCATGAACGTGCGCGTTATTTGTGCGGATGCCAAAGAATTTGATACTGAAGGGGTGTGTGTGTGTTCGAGCGCGCGCTTTGAAAGACTGGAACTTTAAACGCATTCTAGAATTTAAAGGCGGTTTCAGGCACTGCTCCTCTCCACATAGATTGACTATGAGCGCATTATCCCTGGATTTTTCTTCTGTTATGAACGGCAGGCGTAAGTGTGAACTAGTTTAACGTTTTTGTGGTGGTAATGAAACATTTAATCTTGTAAATGAAGTCTTTTTCAACATTGTTATTACAGTATGGGGATTTTTACCAAATATTTGCAGTTTTTATATTCAGATTTTTTTTTAATTTGCAAAAATAGCATTTCTATCGAGGGTTGTTTCTTGAATCCTCATGTTATTTCAACTAGATAAAAATTGTAGGGACGGCAGGCAAAAACACCTTGGGTAGATTCCAAAGCAGTACCTCCCGCTTATGTGATCAGCATAACGAGGTTAACTTTACACAAAAGATCCTGAAGTGTTTTAGGTGGAAGGGATTTGAGCCATCATTTCTGTTACGAGTCTTTGAAACCCCTAGACAACCAATCCAAAGCAAACAACCCCCACCCAAAATTTTTTGGGGGAAATACCTTTCACTTTCTTGATTTAGAGTTATGAGTTGTTTGCAGGAATTTGGTGGAAATGGTACTTAAGGGTTTCTGACAGTGAAGTCCCTGTGTGAGTTGGAGAGGGTGAGAAAAGGATGTAGTAAAGTCAGAGCAGCTGTGTTCCTTCTTCCCTCGAAATTACCTCAGAAGACAAAAGGTTATCACAACTACCTTGGAGAGCTACCAAGTAAAGCTTTGGCTTACTGGTTTTGTTTGGCAGCCCCAATTTACGCCAGCCCTCACATTTTTCTGTGAATCTGAAACCCAGAGAGATGGAGACCTCACAAGGACTAGGGCAGAGAACTCCTGATCCTCTCTAGTGCTTATCATAACACTAGACAAAAAACCAGGTTTATTGCATATTTCTAAACACCAGTTTTGTGTAACTTCTGTTTTAAATGAAGTAGGATAGCATACTGTTTGCAGAAATTTTAGAATAAAATCTTCTGCAACACAGTTTTGGCTTCTGTAAGATTGATTTTAAGTATGTCTGATTTTCTTCAAGTTTGGTATATGGATTATGTAAATTGAATACTCTATGTTTTCTAACCCTTGGCTTTAAAAACAATACAGGAACATACCTAACAGTATCAAAACGAGTATTGCAAAAATCAATATACTTTTCATTTTTACTATAGCTCTTGGGTTTATTCACCTTGATGATAATACATTACCGCATGGGCAAAACAAGAAGTACAGTTAAAATTTCATGCAACATTCCAAAGTGGGAAAAGTAGGACATGTGGTGTATGTATTTTCTAACTATAAAACTATATTTGAATTAGATTTCAGTTCTTATTGTCCAATTAAGAGAAAGGAAAAATGTTACTTTTTAAAAATGAATTATAAGATTGTGTTTTAAAATATTATTTGGATATATTTCTAAGAATAAGTATTGCCCTAGGCAAACTGAGATCTAAGTTTGATTAAGATGGCAGTTACATTCTGTGTAGAATATAATGGACAAGTATGATGTCCTAGAGATCTGAGTCTCATTAAAACAGCAGTTGTAGTCTACATAGAATACAATTGAAAAGTCAAAAACATTACCTCTGGGGATCTTTGCTTCTATATGTAATTTTAAGAAAGCTTACAGGTATGAAGCATTTTGTTCAAGTGGCTTAGTAAAAATGTATTGACTTCAGTTAAACATAGCAGGATAGAGACCCATGAGAAAATTCAGAAGACCGATTTACTAAAACAGTTCTTTAATGCTAAACTTTTTCTTGAAGACGCATAATTGGTTTCTTGTCATATGAATTTTTAGTCCTGTAAAAGTACCAGTTGAAGGGTGGGGATATAGAGATTTTAAGTTTTTCTTTTCTTTTTTGTTTTAATTGAGTAGCTATTTCATTAGTAAAGAATTCTATTTTCTTATTGTAGCTTGGTGTGTGCCTTGCCTAGTTTCACTTGATACTCTTCAGGAATTATGTAGAAAAGAAAAGCTCACATGTAAATCGATTGGAATCACCAAAAGGAATCTAAACAATTATGAGGTGGAATACTTGTGTGACTACAAGGTAGTAAAGGTAAGGCAAATATCTAGCCCTTAAAAGAGACCTACTCAGACTTCAATTCAGTATTTCATATTTCTGTAACATAAGAAGAACCTTAAAAACGAGCAACACTCTTAACGTTTAAAATTCTAAGCTATGATGGTGGCACAGTGGTTAAGAGCTCGGCTGATAACCAAAAGGTTGGCAGTTCAAATCCACCAGCCGCTCCGTGGAAACCCTATGGGGCAGTTCTACTCTGTTCTATAGGGTCCCTACGAGTTGAAATCGACTTGACAGCAACGGGTTTGGTTTTTTTGTTTTTTGTTTTTTTATCATCTATATGGCCAAATAACATTGAGAAGATATTGAAGCATAAAATGTTCTTGCGTTAGATTATTTTAAGATGCTTATATCATTCTACATCCAACTCTTGATTATCTCTGTGTGGATTACCAGAGCAAAAATGTTTTATCTTAGATTGGCTTCTCCTGTCAATTCATTTTGTTCCTAGATCGTATTCCCTATTATCACCTGAAATGAACCTGGAAATTCTAGCCAGTTTTAGTTTTAGTGAATCTCAAGAAGCATCACCATTTGTATTTCCTGACGTCATGTCAAACTCCAGGTATTAGTGAGGTTCTATGTTATAATAGAATGGCCTGGAGTTCAAAGTAATTTCTAGCCTTGGTTTAATACCTGATGATTTTAGCAAAGTCATTTAACTTCTCGGAGCCTCACCTTATTCCTTTAAAAAGGACAGGGTTGTTCTTTAAGACCCTTATTTGATCTAAAATGTACAATTACATTTTTGAGGAATTCGTCTCTCTATAGCCTAACTCCCTCTCCAGGAACTCTGTTTTGGTCATTAATCTGTCAGTTCTTCCAGATAAGTGAACTCAGGAATACTGTTTGCTTCTTTATTTTCCTTCTCCTTCATCTTCCATATTGAATCAGTCACTAATTTCAATTCTTCCTTTGAAATGTCCATCCGCCTTTGGCGTCCCTGCCTTCCCCACTAGTGGGATCTTAGGATCAAGCATTTTATCTGCACTCTCAGCAACCTTCAACTCCCAAAACAGCCCAGTCATCTGCCATCTCAGCTTATAAGCTCTGGACTGACTAGACTACCCGAGAGTATCATAAAGTCGTACATATTGGCTCTATTAAAACTTGTGATTTCTATTCTCAGGCTGCTCAGTTCTACTTAACAAACTTTTTATCTGTTGTTTTCTTTTCCATTCCTGGAAGATTTTTCCCAACTTTCATTACTTTCCTGAACTCTTACTCTACCCCTGACTCTCTCATGAGAGCCCGGATGGCTCAGTGATTAAGAGCTCAACTGCTAACAAAAAGGTGAGCAGTTTGAACCCACCAGCCGCTCCTCTGGAGAAAGATGTGGCAGTCTGCTTCCATAAAGATTTACAGACTTAGAAACCCTATGGGACAGTTCTGCTCTGTCCTGTAGGGTCACTATGAGTCTGACTCAGATCGATAGCAAAGGGTTTAGTTTGGTTTGGACAGTCTCATATTCAACTGAAGACCTCTTCTACCTCAGTGAACAATAGGATCCTTCAAGTATTATCTCAGCTTTCCTTCACCTTCAGTTATCTGTATCTTCACTGATTTTTACTTTCAAATGTGTTACCTTTTTCTTTTTTTTTTTTTCCTCTCTCCGATTCGTCTCCTCTAACCTGATGCGGTTTAGTCGATTCTGATACATAGCGACCCTATAGGACAGAATAGAACTGCCCCCTAGGGTTTCCAAGGAGCAACTGGTGGATTTGAACTGCTGACCTTTTGGTTAGCAGATGAGCTCTTAGCCACTATGCTGCCAGGGCTCCATTCATCTCGTCTTGGCCCTGCTTAATCATTGTTGTCCTTTTTTCTGTCAAGCTTTCCTTTTTTTCACTGGTTTATCTCATCAATAAATATATTCAGATCTTCCCTGACTTACCTAAATTGATACACATGTTTAAATCCTCCCTAACCTTCAGAAAAATCTTCCTTTGACCTTGCCTTCCTGCTCAAGCAACTATTTCCTTCTATTTCACTTGCCATTAACTTTTTTAACAGCTTTTTTTTACTGTTACTGGTTTTTTTTGTCGTTGTTGTGCTTTAGGTGAAAGTTTGCAGAGCAAATTAGTTTCTTATTCAACAGTTAATACACAAATTGTTTTGTGATGTTGCTTGCTAGCCCCGTGATGTGTTAGTACTCTCCCCTTCTCCACACTGGGTTCCCCGTTTCCATTCATCCAGTTTTCCTGTCCCTCCTTGCCTTCTCGTCTTTGCTTTTGGGCAGATGTGCCCATTTAGTCTCGTACACATGATTGAACTACGAAGCACCTTCCTCAAGTGTGTTATTGTTTGTTTTATAGGTCTGTATAATCTTAGGCTGAAGGGTGAACTTCAGGAGTGACTTCAGTTCTGAGTTAAAAGGGTATCCAGGGGACATATTCTCAGGGTCTCTCTGGTCTCTGTCAGACCAGTAAGTCTGGTCTTTTTTGTGAATTTGAATTTTGTTCTACGTTTTTCTCCCGCTCTGTCCAGGACCCTCTATTATGATCCCTGTCAGAGCAGTCAGTGGTGGTAGCTGGGCACCATTTAGTTGTTCTGGGCCCAGGCTGGTGGAGGCTGTTGTACTTGTGGTCCATTAGTCCTTTGGACTAATCTTTCCCTTGTGTCTTTGGTTTTCTTCATTCTCCTTTGCTCCGGATGGGATGGGACCAGTAGATGTATCTTTTTAGATGGCCGCTTACCAGCTTTTAAGACCCCAGACACTACTTACTACAGTTGGATGTAGAACATTTTCTTTATGTTATTTAACAGCTTTTTTTGAGATATAATTTACCATATATTTCACCTATTTAAAGAGTACAATTCAAAGCTTTTAATGTATTCATAGAGTCATGCAACTATTACCATAATCAATTTCAGAACATTTTCATTACCCCAAAAAGAAACTCCACACCCCTTAGCCACCAAGCTTCTCCTCCCCCGCAGCTCTAGGCAACCTCTAATTTACTTTTTGTCTATAGATTTGCCTGTTCTGGACATTCCTTTGTGACTGGCTTCTTCCACTTAGGATAATGTTTTCAAGACTCATCCATGTTGTAGCATGTATCAGTACTTCATTCCTTATTATTACCAAATAATATTCCATTATATGGTTATACTACATTAATTTATCCCTTAATCAGTTGATGAAAATTTGGGTTGTTTCCAGTTTTTGGCTATTATAAATAATGCTGCTGTGAACATTTATGTATAAGTATTTATGTGGACTTATGTTCTCATTTATTTTGGGTAGATCCTAGGAGAGGAATAGCTGGGTCATATAGTAACTAAGTTTAATTGTTTGAGGAACTGAGAGACTGTTTTCCAAAGGAGCTGCACCATTTTACATCCCCACCAGCAATGTATGAGGATTTCAGTTTCTCCACATCCCCATATCACTTAATGTTATCTCTCTTTGATTACCATATTTTTATGCAAATAACGAGTTATACTTTTTTTTGGGCCAACTGCACAACCTCCTCACACATTGTTTTCCTAGGCGCACTATGTGTGTTACATGTGTGGGCGTGTTTGTGAAAAAATACGGTATAGCCGTGCTGGTGGGTGTGTAGTGATATTTTATTGTGGTTTTGATTTGCATTTTCTTCATGGCTAACGATATTGAGCGTCATTTCATGAACTTATTGGTCATTTGTATATCATCTTTGGAGAACTGTCTATTCAGATCCTCTGCCCATTTTTTAATTGGGTTGTCTCTGTGTTCACCATCATTATTGTTACCCTTCCCCACTCCTTTCCACCCATTTTTCTTACTGTTCGTTCTGAATCTCCTTTACTGTTTCCTGTTTCTCCTTCCTCTGAAAAGTAGATATTCTCCAAGTCTCCATCCTTGGCCTTCTTCTTACCTTGTAGTTGCTCTTAGATGACCTCTTTCCCAATCGTTTCTGCTCATATCTGTTTGGCTCATGACTCCCAAATCTTTCTGAGGCCTTGGCTTCATTTTGAATTGAATACCCTATAGGTACCCAAATTGTGCAATAAAATTGTACCATTTTCTTCCCCCAAATCTGCATCCTGCTATAGTTTTCTCTGTCTTGGTTAACAGAATCATAATACTGTCAGTTACCAAAGCCAGAAGTGCCATACATCTTTAATTCCTCCTTCCTTTCTACTTTCTAAATCTAATAGGTTTTCAGATTGTGTTATTTCTGCCTTTCTATTAATCTTTTCTGTTCATTCCTGTTATAGTTCAGGCTCTTGTCTGTGTTGTAGTTGTCTCCTAGTTTCCTTCTTATTTTTAGTTGATATCAGCTACCCCTTTTTTAGTGGTGCAATGGTTAAAGCACTGGACTGCTAACTGAAAGGTTGGTGGTTTGAAACCACCAGCAGCTCCGCAGGAGCAAGATGTGGCAGTTTGCTTCCGTAGAGATTTACAGCCTTGGAAACCCTATGAGGTCGCTGTGAGTTAGAATCAACTCGATGGCAGTGGGTTTTTTTTTTCAATTGGAATAACAGGTTTAGATATTAAGAGGTGTAACAAGTCAGATTCATTCATAGCTTGGTTTCAGGTAGCTAAGGGAGTGCTTTGTAATGCAGGCTACTCAACCCTCATACTGCCCAGGATTTTATAAACCTCCAATCCCTCCCTTAGCCTACTCTTGAAATAAAATATGCATAACATCCACTTGATGTCTTTACCTATCTCAGTATCATAGAGAGAGTTACTTAGGTGTCTGGGTTTACACTGAAGGAGCTACCATGATTCTTTCATATATGAAATTCTGAGTGTTGTGGTTTGGTTTTGGATCATTTTTGCTGTTTAGTTTCTCTATAATCTTTCTCATCAGTGCAGCTGGTTTCTTGCTTTGGATTAAGCAGCCTTCCTTTACTCACTCATGTCCCCAACACCCGACTCATATCCCCCATTTCTTTTACCTAGCACAGATTATTTAATCTATAAACCAGTATTACTTCGACACCCCTACACCTTTAAAAAATTTTTTTTAAAATTTTTCTTT